TTTCCATAATGCATGATACATGAAATGCTGTTATTAGTGATTAATGTTTTCGTTATTTCGCCAGTTTCCTGAAACATACACATACATTAGAAATATATCGAGCAATCGGAGTAAAATGTTTATAACCCTCCAATGCAAGCAAAAATTGCCAATATTTTTTTTCTTTTTCTTTCTTTTTTGGCTTAAAAGGTACAATATATACTTGGGATCTACAAGAGGTACTGCTCATTGTAAGAAAAAATAAATTATTCGGTGAAAAAATTTAGTGAATTATTAATTAAGGCTTCCACAATTTCATTGTGCAGAACTCGCCATCAGTGGCGACGAGGTTTATATGGGGATGGTGAGCGAGTCCAATCACATACCTGCCAATACCAGAATTTTTTATTTTTATTTAATCAAACTTAAAAATAAAAAATAATACTAATAATTAAATAAATCAGAGTCAATGATCTCAGTATCTCACAACCAACATGGAATCAGAATTTATGGGATATTAACACAAGACACCCTGCGACTTGGTGTAATTACAGTGAAGCCCATAGGTTTCTAGAAATTGCAAACTGATAAAAAAAAANATGAGTTTTGAGTTTTTTTTTCTTAAACGTAAGGGATGATTAACTGTGATGTTTCTATAAAAAAAAAATATCGGGGCACTTCCGCAATTTTCAAAAGTAGCTTGATTATCTTGTAAATAGTATTAAAAACCTGGGGGGGTTTAGCCCAGAAGAAGAAGATGACAATGCAGGAGGATTTAAGTTTAATTAATTATCTTACCTTTCATTAGATGTTCAAGCTTGCCAGACTAATAACTGAAGCAGTATAAATTTCTGCATATAGTTGAAATATAATGGTCAATAAACAATTACATCAACATCTACTTGACTGTGAATTTCGGCGTTCACAAAATATTTACACTGGACAAGAACCAGGACACTAAGACAATACTCGACTATTGGTCTATTATATTTAGGGCAAGAATAAAATCAAAGCTTGTATAAATTATTACCGACCACTCTCCATCTTCCTCACTCTATGAATAAGTTGCAGAATTATTTTTTCAATGCAAGTTAATCAAAATTTAAAACACATCTATCCTCTATCGGGGAAGAAGAAATCAAATTCCGATAATTAGGAATACTTACGAAATATTATGAGCTAAATACTCCTGTCCTCCTCCTCCACAATAAATTTCTAATTTTCTGCATAATGCAAAGTCCATCAAAGTGCCCCAAAATCACCTTTATATGCTATTATAGTATTATGTATGAGTTAACTATTTGTTCAGAAAGCTTTAATTTGCTTATAATGCATAGAAGTTGCAATCTTGATAATGAAAAAAGTAAATCCAAAAGTCTCTACCTAGTTTGAATTCCTGTTAAAAGAACAAACTATGAACCCAACTTAGCACCAGGCCAGGAAATGAAAATACACTGGCCGGAATAAAATGCCAAAAGAAAAAAAAGAATGAAAAAGACAAGAAAAATGAGTAAGCAAATAGATTAAAAACAAATACATTAAGAACAAGTACCTGCAGCAATCGAGAGTGCTTTCCTGTGCTGTTCAATCTGTTGTCTCCTAAATAATTCAATATAAACACACGTTCGTTTGACAAAAAAAGATGCATTGAAACAAAAATTCAACTGGCATGCTCTTAGAGAAACCTGACAACAAAAGTACCAGAAATGAGATTGTTAGAGAAGAGGAAATCAAAAATAAGGAGAGGACAAGTACTGTTACAGGAGCATACATGGAATTTTAAGTATTCAACTAAGCTGGGTTATATCATATCCTTCACCCACACCAAGTCAAGAAGGGTAGCAAAGTAATCTGAAAAATTTTAGGAATAGAAGAATGAAAATTTTAGTAACAGGGATGACAGATCATAAATAACACAACTGTTTATAGGTAAATCTTGTTCCATTTAGTAAGAGGCATACCAGCAAGCATGAGAAACACAAAGCCTTAAATTGAATATCATGGAAAAAGAAAGTTCAGTAGTGAGGCCAATGATTAAATAAAATATACTTAAGGAAAAACCTTGTGCAATTTGGGCACGTCTTTTTGCCTTCGTTGAGTTTTGATACGCCTGCACAAAAGACGTAAATATCACTCCACAACCCATGACAGTGGAAAGGTATATAATTCAAAAATTCATCAGAAATGTCAAATGAATCAAGATAACATAGCAATCAGATTATCAAAAAGTTGATCAACAAGAAAGTTATCAATAGAGGACCTAACAGTACTAAGGCGCAGTTACAAAATGAACCCTAAAACTGAGAAGTTCTAATATCAGGGTCTTCAAGCCTCAAGTAGCTGATTACCCTAAAACTGAGAAGTTCTAATATCAGGGTCTTCAAGACTCGAGTTGCTGATTACATAAAAACCCCTACATACAAATGAAATTGTAATAGCATAGTATCAAATAAGCCCAGATGAAGTTCAATCATTTCCAAAACAATCTATACACAGAAAAATTGAAAAGATGAACTCTAATTCTCCCACAACATACAGAATGTAAATAAATGAATAAAAACGAATACAGAGAAGTCTCAGCCTACCAGCTCATATAAAGCGAAATCAAGTAAATAAATTCGCAGATTCATCCCATGAAAACCAAGTAACCCTTTTGACGGAAAACATCCTTAAACTACAGAACAAAAAAAAAAAAAAAAAAAAAAAAAAAAATCAACAGAAATGGTGAAAAAGGTTGTTTTCTAGAAGTAAGCTATTCCTTCAAGCTATTAACTAAACACTAACAGCAGTAAAATTTGCCCCATTTTCCCGTCTCATTACAATTATTAGACTAAATGAGCAGAAATGTACCCAATTTCAAAAATCTTATATACCTTCCAGCTCTGATTACAGAAACTTGTTCTTTAGAAGCTCAAATCTCTCATAAAGTTCTGAGCTTTACGAGCGTTTCAATCCATAAAGAATGAAATAATGCAAGCCGTACATTGTTTTTAATTAACTTTAACAAGAGCATGATTAGATAGGGAAGCAAAACTTACTCTCGAGCTTCAATTTCCAGGGTTGAAGACATGGCCAACCTTAAGGCTGAAACCCCTTCAAAACTTACTCCGTATATATCTATCTTTATATATAATAAAAAAAAAAAAATTAATAATCTAATATATCTTAATTGAAAAATAATAAAAATATTAGTTAGTAATTATATTTATCTATCAAGTCTATTATGTAATTTGAATTAGAAAAATGTATTTGAAAAATAAATAAAAACTTTAAGTAAAAGTTTTTAGATGACACTAAATACAAGGTGCTGTAGCACTATTAGTAATTTACTATGTTTTGAGCAAAGATTTAAAAAAATAAATTAATAAAAAAAAAAAAAAGGATG